CATGCTCAATGGGTGACATGTCTGGTGAGTACCCAGGCTATGGAAGAACTCAGACATTTTCAGCTTCCAGGAATTGTGTACAGATCCTTGGGACATGGGGCTGTGCATTAGCATGCTAAAGCATGAGGTGATGGCGGCAGATGAATGGCACAACAATAGGCCTCAGTATCTCGTCACGGTATCTCTGTGCATTCAAATTGCCATCGATAAAATACAATTGTGTTTTTTGTCCGTATCTTATGCCTGCCCATACCATAATCCCACCGCCTCCATGGGTCACTCTATTCACAACGTTGACATCAGCAAACTGCTCGCCCACACAACGCCATCTGCCCGGTACAGTTGAAACTGGGATTCATCAGTGAAGAGCACACTTCTCCAGCGTGCCAGTGGCCATCAAAGGTGAGCATTTGCCCACTGAAGTTGGCTACAATGCCAAACTGCAGTCAGGTCAAGACCCTGGTGAGGACGACGAGCACACAGATGAGCTTCCCTGAGACGGTTTCTGACAGTTTGTGCAGAAATTATTTGATTGTGCAAACCCACAGTTTTATCAGCTGTCTGGGTGGCTGGTCTCAGACAATCCCGCAGGTGAAGAAGCCGGATGTGGAGGTCCTGGGCTGGCGTGGATGCACGTGGCTCTGGTGGACATTGCTGCAGTCAGCATGCAAATTGCACACTCCCTCAACTTGAGACATATGTGGCATTGTTTGTGTGACAAAACTGTGTCACCATTTATTGTCCCCAGCACAAGGTGCATCTGTGTAATGACCATGCTGTTTAATCAGCTTCTTGATATGCCACACCTGTCAGGTGGATGGATTATCTTGGCAAAGGAGAAATGCTCACTAACAGGGATGTAAACAAATTTGTGACATGATTTGAGAGAAATAAGCGTTTTGTGCGTATGGGAAATGTCTGGGATCTTTTATTTCAGCTCATGAAACATGGGACCAACACTTTACATGTTGTAGTTCTGTATGATAGCCACATTAGTGGCTAATTAGTATTTCATTTTGGGGGGGGGGGGGGGGTAATTACAGGCGAATGTATTGATAAAAGTTACTTTGTCCGAGAGATTAACATGGTTATCAAAACAAGTCTACACACGGGCAAAAACTTCCATTACAACAACAGCTGTCTGTTTCATATTGTGGTAAGCAGAAGCGTAAATCAGAAGTGTCATTATTGTTGTCTGTGTGCTCAACACTGACATCAGCTTTCCCCTTTCCATAGTCCTAGAGTACACCTGCAGTAGTGCACCACTGTAGTCCCAACAGATCCACCTCCTTCACCCAATACTTTGGTGGAGACATCCCCCTGCAGATCTGGATGGAAAGTCCCTGTGCCTGTGCCCTGGGGGACGTGGGTCCAGGCGCCATCACCTACTTCATCCTGGGTAAATAGTGTATCCACATCTTCAGACAGGTGACAGCAGATGCCTTACTATATTACCGTGTCCCCTCTTTTGAGCCCCTTCTAACCTCCCCTCGCCTCCTCCCCTCTTTGTGCTCCTTTCTGCAGGTTCCTGTACTCTGCGTCCATTCAGGACAGGCAGTGGAGTGCAGATCGCTCCAGAGGAAAGTGTGTGGTGCATGCTCTGTTACATGACCACTAAAAGCAGAGATAATAGAGGAGCAGAAGATCCATCTCCATGTGAGAGGAAACCCTCTGAAGGGTGGGATAGTATAGATGGTGAATGAGATGGTGGGAGATGAAAACTTTTATTTAAGTGCCATTCTTCCTGAGTCACTCTATGATGAGACAGATGATATTTACGCAGGACATGATTTTCTATCTGTTATTGAGTGGGTTAATAGCAGTGGGGTAGCACTGAACAGCATAACTAAGAACCAGACTAACATCTGAAACAAAGTTATTGCTCCATTTAGTTTAAAGAGTCAATGCAGCTGTTTTTATCTCAATATCAAATCATTTCCGGCTAACAATTAAGTACCTTCCTGTGATTGTTTATTTTTGACCATTTTAATTGAAAATAAATTGCTTGTTAGCGAAGAGCAATTTATCAAGCAAGAATTTAGCTAAGACTGTCTGGGAGGGGTCTGAGTGGGGAAGGGAAAGCGGAAAACTAGCTGTTATTGGCAGAGAGGTTTGGAACTCTTTCTTATTGGGCTATTAACTAATTTACCGCCTCACCAGGCAGTCCATCCCACCAAAACAGAACAACATTTCAGGTGGTCTTTTCAAACGGCTCTTATACAAAGGGAATATCATAATTTTCACTGTGTTATTCCAACCTCAGTGTGGAAATGTGTGTGTGTGTATATACACTGCTCAAAAAATAAAGGGAACACTTAAACAACACACTGTAACTCCAAGTCAATCACACTTCTGTGAAATCAAACTGTCCACTTAAGAAGCAACACTGATTGACAATAAATGTCACATGCTGTTGTGCAAATGGAATAGACAACAGGTGGAAATTATAGGCAATTAGCAAGACACCCCCAATAAAGAAGTGGTTCTGCAGGTGGTGACCACAGACCACTTCTCAGTTCCTATGCTTCCTGGCTGATGTTTTGGTCACTTTTGAATGCTGGCGGTGCTTTCACTCTAGTGGTAGCATGAGACGGAGTCTACAACCCACACAAGTGGCTCAGGTAGTGCAGCTCATCCAGGATGGCACATCAATGCGAGCTGGCAAGAAGGTTTGCTGTGTCTGTCAGCGTAGTGTCCAGAGCATGGAGGCGCTACCAGGAGACAGGCCAGTACATCAGGAGACGTGGAGGAGGCCGTAGGAGGGCAACAACCCAGCAGCAGGACCGCTACCTCCGCCTTTGTGCAAAGAGGAGCAGGAGGAGCACTGCCAGAGCCCTGCAAAATGACCTCCAGCAGGCCACAAATGTCCATGTGTCTGCTCAAACGGTCAGAAACAGACTCCATGAGGGTGGTATGAGGGCCCGACGTCCACAGGTGGGGGTTGTGCTTACAGCCCAACACCGTGCAGGACGTTTGGCATTTGCCAGAGAACACCAAGATTGGCAAATTCGCCACTGGCGCCCTGTGCTCTTCACAGATGAAAGCAGGTTCACACTGAGCACATGTGACAGACGTGACAGAGTCTGGAGACGCCGTGGAGAACGTTCTGCTGCCTGCAACATTCTCCAGCATGACCGGTTTGGCGGTGGGTCAGTCATGGTGTGGGGTGGCATTTCTTTGGGGGGCCGCACAGCCCTCCATGTGCTCGCCAGAGGTAGCCTGACTGCCATTAGGTACCGAGATGAGATCCTCAGACCCCTTGTGAGACCATATGCTGGTGCGGTTGGCCCTGGGTTCCTCCTAATGCAAGACAATGCTAGACCTCATGTGGCTGGAGTGTGTCAGCAGTTCCTGCAAGAGGAAGGCATTGATGCTATGGACTGGCCCGCCCGTTCCCCAGACCTGAATCCAATTGAGCACATCTGGGACATCATGTCTCGCTCCATCCACCAACGCCACGTTGCACCACAGACTGTCCAGGAGTTGGCGGATGCTTAAGTCCAGGTCTGGGAGGAAATCCCTCAGGAGACCATCCGCCACCTCATCAGGAGCATGCCCAGGCGTTGTAGGGAGGTCATACAGGCACGTGGAGGCCACACACACTACTGAGCCTCATTTTGACTTGTTTTAAGGACATTACATCAAAGTTGGATCAGCCTGTAGTGTGGTTTTCCACTTTAATTTTGAGGGTGACTCCAAATCCAGACCTCCATGGGTTGATACATTTGATTTCCATTGATACATTTTGTGTGTTTTTGTTGTCAGCACATTCAACTATGTAAAGAAAAAAGTATTTAATAAGATTATTTCATTCATTCAGATCTAGGATGTGTTGTTTAAGTGTTCCCTTTATTAAAAATATCAAATATATAATACAACAGTGAACCTTTCAACCATCTTTGTAGTGTTAAAATCCTTTTTTTTTTTTAAATACAACAAACCAGCCAGCTGGTTGGAAAATCACAAACAAATTATCCTTCATAAGATAATGTTTGGAGACATCTACCAGTGTAAAAGTCTGCTAAATATGTATGTCCAAGTCTGAGAACAACACCTAGCTTGCACCAAATAACCATCAAATGGGTTTAGAACTTACAGCATTTAAAACTTCCCTATATTGCTACAACTATCCAGTTCCTTGAGATCTGTGAACACAAAAAATGGACAGGCTAGGAGATGTCCGTTTTTTGGGGACATAATCCTCACTCCTCGTTTCCTTCTCAAAACCCATTGGAGGAGAGGGGCGGGACCTCTGGCTTTCTCATCCAATGGGTTTTGAGAAGGAGATTAGGGGAGAGGACTCTGAGCATGCAATTGAGTCCTTCCCATGGTTGAAGAACAGACTGATCCCTCAGTAGACCAATTCTCCACACGGGGGCGCCAGAGTACTACAGTCTAAATGGGACAAATACCACAGTCAGACAGCGCTGAGGACTTTCTCTCTTCTCCATCACCAGCTCTCCTCCAGTAGTGACTAGACTAGCAGGGTCGTCACAGAGAGGATCTGGTGCTTTGGGTCATGTATGGGAAAAATACATTATAAAGTAGCGTATAAAAAGTGTATTGGTATTTTCTTTAAAGTATTACATTTGTCCGATAGTTATTTCTTCATATTTGTGGGAAGGATAGAGAGGATAGATAGATACATAACTAAAGCATGATGTCACTTCCTGATCAACAGGACATGACATTTACCATGGAAACAAAGTGCCTGTAACAACATACAGCTGAACTGAGTTCAGACTTAAGCCACAGCTTCTGGGGGCAAAACAACAAATTGGAAATAAAGTGCAAACTGACCAGGCAAAAACAGAACAGTTCACAATCAAAATCAGCCCCATCAGGTAAACAGACCCACAACTAAACATGAAAACTGTATGGTACAGTCCTCCTCATGGCACCCAGCTCAGCCGGTGCTCCAGGATGACTGCAATATATTTTTAGAGTTAGTCCACACGTTTCATTGCAGAGGCCTCAATTCAATCTCCTCTTCACCAGTCCTAATGGCTCTCTATCACAACTGGCTCATAGACACCGGCAGACACCCTGAAAGAATGACAAATGGCAGAGTAAGACCTGTGTGTGTGCGTTTGCTTGTATTACTATTATATGTGCCCTTTCTGCTTTCTCACCTGTTTCCAAGCAGTAGACCATTCAGGGATGTGGTGCCGTCTCTACTGACAAACAGTCGCAGGTTACTGTCTGAGGAGGAAACAAACCCACCAAGAGACAAATGAAACAGTAGAAAAGAGACAAGTTATGTACAAAAAGAGCCCCCCACAAAATGTACTGGACAAGTGAAAGGGCAGGGTTAGGTTGGGGCTTCATACCTTCAGTGTTACTTATGTCAGCAAAGTTCTGGCTCTGGACGATCTTTTCAACAATATGGTCGGCATCGATGCGGGTGTCATTCACCCAAGAGGGATGGCTCTCCACGGAATCCTGCTTCCTCCTGTCACAGGGTGGAGGGAAAAGGCCCAGTCAGGCAACATTAAGTGGATAAACAGCAGTCATACAAATAACAGTAGTGTTCCACTGATGATTGGAGTGTTTCATTTTTTTCATAGATTGTGAAAACAGACACATTGGGCTAAATACATCTGGTGAGTGGGAGGTCTTGCCTAGGGGGTCTGCTGGATGGCAGGATGGGCCGTGGGGGTCGAGGGGGTCTCTCTGGCCGGCAGATGTCCTTCTCCCCTTCTGTGGTGGTGTCTACTGTCACACTGAGGCTCCCAGATGCGCTGCTTCCTGTGGAGGTGTTCCTCCTGTGTGTGAGGTCAGACAGACTGGAGGAGCAGGAGTGCTCTGTGCTGTAGCCTAGGGGACAATATGTTTACATTACAGACTTAGGTGCAAATACCAAAAAACAACTCTGGAGAGGGATGATGGGGAACAGGAACCCACACACCTGAGATCCTGCTCAGCTGGCTGGCATAGCTGGAGTTGCGAGAGTGCCCCGACTGGAATACTTCTCCTGGGCTAGCTGCCTGGGTCTGGTTTGGCTCCTCTGGAAGACCTGACACCAACCAGAGCCACATCTCAATTAGTTAGAGTCCCTCGCCATGTGTCCCAGACCTAGATTAACTGTTTCGTGTTGATGGATTATCATAAAACACCCACTGTTACCAGGTTTGAGCAGATCCATGTGCCCTGTCATACCTGAGCTAATGATAGAGGGTCTGGGCTTCATGGACCGGCCCAGAGAAGGGGGCCAGTTAGGGGTTCCAGTGCCCTCCCCCTTACAGTCCAGCTGCAGGACATGGTCCTGGCCTGAGATGGAGATGGACTTGGCTGTGCTGGGGGCACTGCAAAAAAACATGACTGGTCAGGCCATATTATACTGTGCAATGTTAGGGTTGCTTGATGGGGCTAATTGACTCACCATTGGGGGGGCGCCAGAGTCACATTTTCTAAATGCATGACGATCAGAGATTTGAACATGTCAGGTCACTCACGTTTTAAAGCACGGATCTCCAGATAGGAGCGCCATCCCAATAGTCACCTTCAGAGAAGATCCAGACAAAATCAACTTTCATTACAAGAAGAACATATCAAAAGTAAGACAGCAAGTCATGTTTGCACTAGCTACAGTATATCAAAGTTCAGCTGAGGTGCTGGGCATCAACTGCTCTGGGTGATCAGTAGTGTGGCGGGGGGGGGAGGTCCTTTCCCACAATACAAAGTCACTAAGTATAAACGATATAAGTTGTTCTGCTCAACCAAACAAAACACAACCCTGACAAAGTCCCAAGGTCAATAGTCCTGACTCCTGCCCACCCCAGCACAATCCCTTTACCTTCAGTATGGAGTTGTCCTGTCTGGTATTCTTGGTGTCGTATCCCTCCAGCAGACAACAGCGGACTGCAGAGCCCGAGCCAGCGAACTCCGCCATGTTGAGGTCAGTAAAACCCAGCTGAGGGAGAAAGAGCAACAGTTGCATTCACTACAGTAGTTCTAAACCTGCATATACTGTGACATAACCTAAAATGTCAAATGTCATGACTTTCTAGCCCTAAGGGACTGGATGTAGAGACAGACTGCTACAGATACTTAGTCCTCCTGTTTTTTTGTTTGAATCTAAGGTTATCCAAGAGGAGATGAGTCTAATTTCCCTTTCTCCAGGTTGCATTTCCTCAAAGCTATTGTTTACAGATGTGTGTATTTAAGGAAGCCCATTTCCAAGGGGGAAAGGAGTTTATTTAGCTTAAGGAAATCCAGAAGTATAGTGTGAGAAAACACAGGAAGTGTCCCTAGCAACCTGAGAGTGCATTATCTATAAACTTTCCACATCTTTATTTGAAGTTCATTTACACTGAACAAAAATATAAATGTAAACTGTTGGTCCCATGTTTCATGAGCTGAAATAAAAGATACCAGTAATTTTCCACAGGCACAAAAAGTGTATTTCTCTCAAATTTAGTGCACAAATTTGTTTACATCCCTGTTAGTGAGCATTTCTCCTTTGCAAAGATAACCCATCCACCTGACAGGTGTGGCATATCAAGAAGCTGATTAAGTAGCATGATCATTACACAGGTGCACCTTGTGCTGGGGACAATAAAATGCCACTAAAATGTGCAGTTTTGTCACATAACACAACGCCACAGATGTCTCAAGTTGAGGGAGCGTGCAATTGGCATGCTGACTGCAGGAATGTCCACCAGAGCTGTTGCCAGAGAATTTAATGTTCATTTCTCCACCATAACGTCATTTTAGAGAATTTGGCAGTACGTCCAACCGGCTTCACAACCGCAGAACATGTGTAACCACGCCAGCCCAGGACCTCCACATCCGGCTTCTTCACCTGCGGTATCATCTGAGACCAGCCACCTGGATAGCTGATGAAACTGTGGGTTTGCACAACCAAATAATTTCTGCACAAACCATCAGAAACTGTGTCCTCCTCACCAGGGTATTGACCTGACTGCAGTTCGGCATCGTAACCAACTGCAGTGGGAAATTGCTCAATTCGATGGCCACTGGCACGCTGGAGAAGTGCGCTCTTCACGGATGAATCCTGGTTTCAACTGTACTGCGTCGTGTGGGCTCCCGAGTGGCACAGCGGTCTAAGGCACTGCATCTCAGTGCTTGAGGCGTCACTACAGACCCCCGGTTCGATTCCAGGCTGTATCACAACCAGCTGTGATTGGGAGTCCCATAGGGCAGCGCACAATTGGACCAGCGTCGTCCGGGTTTGGCTGGTGTAGGCCGTCATTGTAAATAATAATTTGTTCTTAACTTAGTTAAATAAAGGTTAAATTAAATAAAATACAAATAGTTTGCTGATGTCAACGTTGTGAACAGAGTGCCCCTTGGTGGCGGTGGGGTTATGGTATGAGCAGGCATAAGCTACAGACAACGAACACAATGGCAATTTGAATGCACAGAGATACCGTGACGAGACCCTGAGGCCCATTGTCTTGCCATTCATCCGCCGCCATCACAGCCCGTGTCGCAAGGATCTGTACACCACTCCTGGAAGCTGAAAATGTCCCAGTTCTTCCATAGCCTGCATACTCACCAGACATGTCACCCATTGAGCACTTTTAGGATGCTCTAGATCAACTTGTACGACAGTGTGTTCCAGTTTCCGCCAATATCCAGCAACTTCGCACAGCCATTGAAGAGAAGTGGGACAACATTCCACAGGCCACAATCAATAGATGTGTCACGCTGCATGAGGCAAATGGTGGTCACACCAGATACTGACTGGGTTTATGATCCACACCCCTACCTTAAAAAAAAGAGTATCTGTATTCCCAGTCATGTGAAATCCATAGATTAGGACCTAATGAATTGATTTAAATTGACTTATTTCCTTATATGAACTGTAACTCAGTAAAATCTTTGAAATTGTTGCATGTTGCGTTTATATTTTTGTTCAGTGTAGTTTATTCTGCTTATACATAGTGCCAAAGTTGTTGCTTGTGTTTGTAGAAGTGGGGTGACTAATGTGAATGTTTAAATGTCTTAACAGCAGTGTTGATGTGTGTTGACATCAGGCTACAGTAAATTGTAATGTTTTTATGGCTATATGGTGGGGTGCTCAGGAGGAGTGGGCTCTTACCTTTGAATACGTTCTTCCTCCTTTGAGTTCCTGTAGTGAAAACAGGAAAAGGGAGATAACTACTGAGCATTGACAGTCTTGCACGCAGTGGAGTGTGTGTGATTAACACTGATCTATCATCAGATTACAGAGGCTACAGAGTTTACACTATCAGGGGTGTGAATAGTGACTGGAAAGATAAATAATCCAGTGGTACACGCAGGACACGGTAGTCCCTGATGTTCACAGACAAAGAGATAACAGCAAAGAGCTATGTGTTGCTAAGAGAGGTCCCCCAAAAGTCAACAGACAGACAGAGATAGACAGACCTTCCGCACAGAGACCCGACAGATGTAGGGATCCAGCACTCCAGTCGTGGGGTTGGCGCTCATTTTACACACAAAGGTAAACCTCTTCTTCCAGTAAACACAGTTCTCCTGAACCTCCTCTCTATGGGACAAGAGGACAGGAATCAGAGAGGGCCTGGCAGTACAGTGCAGCTACATCAACCTCAATAAAAGGGAATCGGTTAGCTATAGCACATCTGTAATTAGTGTCAAGAGTTACTGACAGTCATTACTGTTTGAGTGGTGTCACAAGAAGAAGTCACTAATTCAACAGCACATAAGACATCACTTGTGCTTTTGCCCTCGCTCTCCAACATTTTGCTCCAGTTTTAGTGAAAGCAAACTTGTTGTTGAGGAAACGGTAAACAATAGCCTGTGGGCTTCTGTAAAAACAGAGTTCACATTGTAAATAGGCCAGTGCATGACGTCACACTGTCTGTCCATACATTCAGGGAAATGGCTGAGTATACAGAGAAGGACGGTTGATGTAAAAACATTCCTGGTGATAATCTGTCTACTTCCCATTTTAACTCACTTTATACCCTCCCCTTCCCAACTAGACTGAATGCAACCATTGACAGTATTACAGTCATGCCCCGGGCCTGGACCCAGCCACTCAGAATGCACAGAAGCAACTCAAGTGAATCCGGGGCTTAATGTGGACTCTGGAAATAATGAATAACTTACAGAGCAAGAGGAGCTAATGTAAATGTACAGGGCTGGATATGCATGACCCATCATCTCCAATGTAAACAAACAGCCATGGATACACCAAAACTAACAGCTCACAGAGCAGAAAAGTAGTGAGGTGGACAGATCAGCCCGTTTACTGTAGTGTGTACCTATTGCCTTGTGGGAGTGCTCAAACAATCAGGTATTACCAGACTGCAGCTGACCTCACCACAAAGTACACACAGTGAAACAACCATCCTTCAGATAAACCTAAAGCACCCTTTAAGTGAGAAGGATAAATCCATTTGAATTCAATCACTTTTTGACAGCACCCCTTTTGATTTGAACGAAACCTTCCTTAAATATTTACCCATCGTATAAGTGCTCAAAAAGATACTTTCTGGACCCAATTGCAAAACATTCAGGAGATAAGGTGCTCAAAGTTTAAACATTTGGCATACTCCACCATACCATGAGACATCCATGTCTTCATCACTGGAAAATATTAACTGTTGAGTTTGATATAATTTAAAACCTTACAAACAGGGTTGTCAAACAATTATCATTTCTGGAAAAAAAATGTGTTTCTTGAATACAGGGTGTCATGTTTTGGCTGATATTTTTTTTTCAAAAAGGTACCATAAAGATGGTTTGAGGTCCACAAATCAGATAATGTCCTCTTGAACTGGAATAGCTGAATATCAACGTCACACTTTAGGCATACCAGAGACGGAAGAGGAAGCGAGACATCTTACTCGCTCTTTTTTCTGGTTCATATACAGTCACTGAACTAAGAAGACCCAGCTGCTATCACATTGGTGCCTATGGGAGCACCACCCCTTAAGTGACCATTTTGGACATTTCAGTTATCCACCATCTTTGGGCATACTATCTGAAATCACATGACTGATACTTTATACAATGCTGGACTAGTATAGGGCAGCTCTCTGCGTGGCTAAAATGCAAGAGATGTGAACCAACCTTCCACATAGTGAATATAGAGTTGTTTAAGTTGATAACATTTTTCCCTTCTCAAGTATGGTTTCGGTTCCAAAACCAGCTATGGTGTGTTAGGCCAATTTGGCCAAATAAAATCCTGTTGTTTACTTGAGAAACTGTTGAGACAATCCAATACTGCTGCTTTGTATTCCAAAAACAGATTCCAACAATTTGATTGGCTCCAAACCTTTGGTCATACTTAAATGTTGTTTAAAATGCATTAAAGAGGTCCCCATTTCCACTCTCAATGATTAATCATGTACAGTCTATAATTGCAATGAAACACATTTTATGCATACTTTTTATTCAAGTATTCTAGTTCACTGCCATTTTAGATTTTTTCCTCACATAAGTTCTTTATATAGTGGTTTCTTTGTTTTGCATTCCTTGGTTCTTTGCCACACACACACACACACACACACTTATCCAGTTCTTATCAAGAGCGCCACACTAATCACTGCCCCCCATTCAATAAGTCTCTGAAAACGTTCTCAGCCACATTCCATAGAGCAGGTGGCTTTATTAAACCACCATGGCACCCACGCGCCTCAAATCCCCAACTACAAAGTTCAATCAAAACAAGAGTGAATGAGTTAGAGCACTGAGGAGAGAGTGGGGGGTCAGGGGGAGGCTTGAGACAACATTTAACAGCCAAACACATTGTATCAGGAGGTACAGTGGCTTGCCAAAGTATTCACCCCCCTTGGCATTTTTCCTATTTTGTTGCCTTACAACCTGGAATTAAAATAGATTTTGGGGGGGTTTGTATCATTTGATTTACACAACATGCCTACCACTTTGAAGATGCAAAATATTTTTATTGTGAAACAAACAAGAATAAAGACAAAAAAACAGAAAACTTGAGCGTGCATAACTATTCACCCCCCCAAAGTCAATACTTTGTAGAGCTACCTTTTGCAGCAATTACAGCTGCAAGTCTCTTGGGGTATGTCTCTATAAGCTTGGCACATCTAACGACTGGGATTTTTGCCCATTCTTCAAGGCAAAACTGCTCCAGCTCCTTCAAGTTGGATGGGTTCCGCTGGTGTACAGCAATCTTTAAGAAACAGGTTTCCCTCAAGAATTTCCCTGTATTTAGCGCCATCCATCATTCCTTCAATTCTGACCAGTTTCCCAGTCCCTGCCGATGAAAAACATCCCCACAACATGATGCTGCCACCACCATGCTTCACTGTGGGGATGGTGTTCTCGGGGTGATAAGAGGTGTTGGGTTTGCGCCAGACATAGCGTTTTCCTTGATGGCCAAAAAGCTCTATTTTAGTCTCATCTGACCAGAGTACCTTCTTCCATATGTTTGGGGAGTCTCCCACATGCTTTTTGGCGAACACCAAACGTGATTGCTTATTTTTTTCTTTAAGCAAAGGCTTTTTTTTGGCCACTACCGTAAAGCCCAGCTCTGTGGAGTGTACTGCTTAAAGTGGTCCTATGGACAGATACTCCAATCTCCGCTGTGGAGCTTTGCAGCTCCTTCAGGGTTACCTTTGGTGTCTTTGTTGCCTCTCTGATTAATGCCCTCCTTCCCTGGTCCGTGAGTTTTGGTGAGCGGCCCTCTCTTGGCAGGTTTGTTGTGGTGCCATATTATTTCAATTTTTTAATAATGGATTTAATGGTGCTCCGTGGGATGTTCAAAGTTTCGTACGTTTTTTTATAACCCAACCCTGATCTGTACTTCTCCACAACTTTGTCCCTGATCTGTTTGGAGAGCTCCTTGGTCTTCATGGTGCCACTTGCTTGGTGGTGCCCCTTGCTTAGCGGTGTTGCAGACTCTGGGGCCTTTCAGAACAGGTGTATATATACTGAGATCATGTGACAGATCATGTGACACTTAGATTAATCACAGGTGGACTTTATTTAACTAATTATGTGACTTCTGGAGGTAATTGGTTGCACCAGATCTTATTTAGGGGCTTCATAGCAAAGTTGGTGAATACATATGCACGCACCACTTTTCTGTTATTTATTTTTTTGAAACAAATTATTTTTGATTCCACTTCACCAATTTGGACTATTTTGTGTATGTCCATTACATGAAATTCAAATATAAAATCAATTTAAATTACAGGTTGTAATGCAACAAAATAGAAAAAAAACACCAAGGGGGATGAATACTTTTGCAAGGCACTGTATCTCTGAGTCAGTTCTCAGATACACAATGTCACAGGGAGTAAGCAGCAGGGATCTCACCAAGAACACAACCACACACACAATTGCTACCTAATAACCTCACCATAACACAAAGCTGATGCTGGCAAAAACACTGAGAAACCAAGAGATATACAGTTTCTGAACAATGTTGAAAGACAATCCTCACTGCTGGCTGCTGTCCTCCGGCCCTCTCCAGAAGCAACACAAACAGCAGCAGGCCTGTGTCAGCCCCTGACAGGACATCAATAAACAGCCTGGCTGGGAGAGAGCAGTGTGTTGTACTGGGAGAGAGCAGTGTGGAAAGATGAGGAAGCTGCAGTGTTCAGCAGGGGACGATGACTTCAGGCCAGGCCGTGATACATACAGTGCATTCGGAAAGTATACAGACCCCTTGACTTTTTCTACATTGTTACGTTACAGCCTTATTCTACAATTGACTAAATTGTTTCCCCCCCCCCAATCTACATACAATACCCCATAATGACAAAGCAAAAACAGGTTTAGAAATGTTGCCAATTTATAAACAATAAAACACTGAAATATGACATTTACATAAGTATTCAGACCCTTTACTCAGTACTTTGTTGAAGCACCTTTGGCAGCGATTACAGCTTTGAGTCTTCTTGGGTATGACGCTACAAGCTTGGCACACCTGTATTTGGGAAGTTTCTCCCATTCTTCTCTGCAGATCCTCTCAAGCTCTGTCAGGTTGGATGGGGAGCGTTGCTGCACAGCTATTTTCAGGTCTCTCCAGAGATGTTAGATCGGATTCAAGTCCAAGATCTGGCTGAGCCACTAAATGTCATTGAGACTTGTCCCGAAGCCACTCCTGCGTTGTCTTGGCTGTGTGCTTAGCACTCTGGAGCAGGTTTTCATCAAGGATCTCTCTGTACTTTGCTTTGTTCACCTTTCCCTCTATCCTGATTAGTCTCCCAGTCCTTGCCGCCAAAAAGCATCCCCACAGCATGATGCTGCCACCACCATGCTTTACCGTAGGGATGGTGCCAGGTTTCCTCCAGACGTGACGCTTAGCATTCAGGCCAAAGAGTTCAATCTTGGTTTCATCAGACCAGATAATCTTGTTTCTCATGGTCTGAGAGTCCTTTAGGTGCCTTTTGGCAAACTCCAAGCGGGCTGTCATGTGCCTTTTACTGAGGAGTGGCTTCCATCTGGCCACTCTACCATAAAGGGGTGATTGGTGGACACAG